AGAATTACAGCCTATAGTGACTTAGTCACCAACCCTAGTTAGGCAAAAATTGTGTTTTCTATAGTATTATCACAGCTTTACTTGAAAGTCACAGGCTGTAAAAATATCTGGGAAAAAAAGTAGTAGTCTAGAAAATTGACCTGGACAATTCACTCAATCTCTCCAGCCTGCATTTCCTAATTTGTAAAGAAAAAGGAATCTAGATTTCTCTGGGAGTGTGCTTGAAATAAAAATCTGGAGTACTGAATCCACTTTTGTTTTTCCCAATTTTTAAGCATCTGTCTGACCTGAAGTGTCTTCTCTGTGGTTATGTTTTAGGGCTATTTTGCCAAGGGATGCTTATTCTTCCAAAGACATATTAGCAGATGCTCAGCAAAGTGATATGAAATTGATTTAAATGCAATCATTCTTAGCCCTGGAAGCTTTGCCATTTGCCATAAGGGCCTTTGAATGGGAGCAGGAGTGTTAGAGTAATGTTAAAACACCATAAAACCGACGAGAACATACGGAGTGCTCTCCAGCCATAAGGTTGCAGCAGTAAACAATAGCAGGCTGCTGACACATCAGGGAAAACTGGGCTGGAGGTGAATACATTATCCGCGGTGAAAGCAGGGTGCACTGTGAATCATGCACAAGGAATGGGGCAGACAGTTCCTCTTAATGAAAAACATTCTCTAACCCCCTGGACACCTTCTGGAAAGTGTTTAGTGTCTCCTCATCGAGTCTTAGGGAACTGGGATAACAGCCTCATAGCTTATCCCGCCATGATGGTATCCGGCTCATTACTGCGGCTTCTCCACAGCAGCAGGTGCACCATGCAGGTTCCTGTGAAGCCTATGAATATAGCTTTAATTGACAATGCCATGCCAATACATTTTAATTACTGCTTCAACAATATAATTAAGTTTTGAATTTATACACTCTCATAACCCTAGTAGTTTGCTGAGCTGAGTGAATGAATAGCAATATTTATGAACCTACTAATGGAAACAGTGTGCAGAGTACTGATGCTGTTACTTCAACAATATCATTGTCACTTGTACAGTAGTTTAAAAATATTAATTGCAAGACATCAGGAGGCCTATGAATTCAAGAGAAGAGATTTTTCAAATAGACCATAAGATCTTGACAACTGATATTCTGGCATTTCTCCCTCACATATGCTCCAATCCATGAGCTCACCACTTCCCTTTTTGAAATATTGCCTTTAATTTCATCTTGTTTTGATATTTCATACTTTGTACCAATAAGTAAGTAATTAATCAAATTCTATGTGGCAAAAGGACAACTGTAAATAGCAATGCAATTCTGCTTGCTCTGCAGAGTTATTGTTGGTTCTTTCTCCCCAGGATTCCAAGAGACTTGGGGATTGTGGCGACCGAGGAATATTAAATGATAATGTAATGCTGTGTTGCATGATACTGGCATTTTCTAATGCAACAGACCTGTGTTGAAATGCAAGCTTTACTTGGGGTTTATCCTTATATATGCCAGGCTTATACATAAACAAAAGCTACAAAATGATCCTCACATTGAAGTTCTCCAAATATGAGACTATTTTTTACGGCTGAGGAAAACACTGGACTTCGTTGAAAAGAGGGAGATCCATTCAACTTTCAAAGAAGAAAGCTCTATTTGAACTCATAATGTTTGAGTTTGTGTTATTAACTTTAGGATCTGCTCTCAAGGGTTTCTTATTTTTGTTTTTAATTTTACCAAATGATAACTTTAAATATAGTTTATTTTAAAGATGAAAGCACAAATCATAAATTTTAAACACATTCTATCTGGACATTTGGATTATTCAAATTCTGTGTTCATCATTCACACAATTCCGGGTTTTCAAAGAGTAGAAAAAAATGTTACTCACAAAACAAAAACACTGACATGAACATTTGTTACAAGTCATGATAGTAAAAATTTTTATTTTGTTTTCCTTAGTTTGTCTGGCTGATGTGCACAAATTTATAAACCAATTCAGTGCAGCAAATGATTTTCAAGCATCTATCTAGTGAGGGCATTAGCTTAAATGCGATGATGGGCTTTATTTATCTCATTTAAAAGAACATAAAAGGATGTACTTCACAATGTAAATTCAAAAGCCTCTCTAGAGCCAAAGATGATTAACTGTTTTTCATTTCTACTTCACTAACTTTGAGTGCAAACCGCTAAGATTATAACAGAAAATCATTTCATACCTTAGTTTATTGGTGTAAAGTGACTGAGTTGATGGTCTTAAACTATGATGATGGAAATAAGATGAATTGCCACACTTACTCAATGAATATTTTGTTTTAGGGAATCTCCTCCAAAATGAATTTAGTGACTGAGAATTAGAAGCAGAAATGAACTCAAAGGTGTAGAGAGGATGAATGGAGACTGAGAGTTCGGCTGTCATGGCAGCACACCTGTGTCAATGTTATTTTCTTTATTCTTATATTTTCTATATTTCATTACTAAGCTGTTAGCTAGTTTGTATTTGATGCATAGCACTTCCACTTCCTAAAGAGGGAGAGCCAGAGAAATGCAGTAAATGGGAGAGAGAGAGAGAGAGAGAGAGAGAAAAGAATAATTTGAATAAGCAAGTGCTGGACTATTGCCTGGGGAAGATGTTACTGTTTGAATAAAAATAGCATGTGTGAAGTCAAAAGAAAGAGGTCGAATCACTAAAAGCTTGGGGAGGGGAGGAGAAAACTAATAGATGTTACATTATTCTGATATATTCTGATGACAAAAATAAGGTGATTTCAGGGCAAAGTTGGGTTCTAGGGCACTGTTAGCCTGTGTGTTGAGAAAAATTCCAGATGCGGCTGATAGACTTCTTCTCCCATTGGGGTTGGTCAAGTCACTGTGATAAATAATGTACTAGCTCATCAACATTGTCTTACCTATCTGTTCATCAGCATTCCTGCCTATAGAGAGCCATAGACTAGGAAGGATGGAAACTGATTTTTCTTTTGCCCTAAGTTGTCTTGGTTTCCATAGGAGCCCAAATGTCACTCAATAGGTGTGACTGCAGGGCAGAGGAACACAACAATGAATTAATGCAAAATTACTTATTCATTGTTATGGGCTACTTCTCCGTGGGGTAGTCATTTATCCACAGGCTATTCTATGTTAACCTCACATAGAAACCACTAATGACTAGCACACCCTGAAATGTGAATGACTTTCTTTTAAAAGTTTGATATTCAAAGCACTATTTCCTTTGAGGGTGATTCTCAACATGGGCACTTTTGACTTTTGGAGTTAACAATTCTTTGCTGTGGGGAGGGGACTGGCCTGTACTCTCAGATGTTTAGTAGTGTCCCAGAAGTCTATCTACATGTTACCAAGAATACCCCTGATTCCCAGTTGTGGCAACTAAAAAAATAAATAAATAAAGCTTCTAGACACTGCCAAATGTCCCCTGGAGAGCCTAATCTCTCCCAGTTAAGAGCCACAGATTTAAAGGAGTAAAGTATCAAAGGTGAATATCATCATACATACTTTCAGTATTCTATTTCCTAAGGTGAAGAATATGGAAGAAGTTTCCATCACCATTGAAGAGTATAAAATCTGGGATTTGGTGACAGTACACTTTATAAGGTGTAGAGAACTTCAAAATATTCATTTATTCTTGAAGGCATAAATACCCACATGTGAGAGCACACATTTACTCATTGTGGCTCTGTCCGCCTTGAGGATATTTAAGGCCTTTCCAATCTGGGTTATTTTTCCAAGCTTCCTTTATAATTACACCAGAGAAAGCACTACCTGGTATTAATCAAAATCAGACAGTGGACAATGACAAAGAACTAGGGTGAACAAATATTTCTCCTAGAAATTCCTAGAGGGAAAGCACAAATTGATTAGGGAAAAAGTTTACTAAATGTTATTGAAAAATTTTTGTTGAAGAAGTTGAAAGCTAGTAGAACTGTACAAGCACAATTATTATTTTTACATGGTTTATCAAGGGATATCAAATGTTTAAGTCAACAGGAAGATAAAATAGCTGTCTCAAATTCAACATCAAAGACACTTAGAAAATATGATCTACTGAAGGAATGAAAATCCTTTGAAGAGTTGTGTAGAGCAGAATGATGAAATATAGAGTTAAATCTCAAAAGAGAAAACCTACACTGAATCATCTTAATAGTAACACAAAAATTTCATACCTATAGACTCTTTATGTAAGTAATTTGTCCTAGAGTTATTGCTAGAATTCTGTTGTGAAGACCCTAATGTTTTTCAAAATAAAATTCATAGAATTTTCAAGTACTTTTTTTATACCCAAGGATTTTACAATCTTTTTATTCCAGGATTTCTTATTTGTTGTGATAATTCCTAGACAGCTTTTTCCTGTTTTGCCTATCTAAATATTACAGGGGTCAAATATGTTGACACCTCTTTATGATTCCTACTGAAATATTTTTAGATTTATTTGTTGAGCGAATGCTTCAATTGTAACAAAATTCAGAGAAAATGAGTAACCACTTTAAGTTGCTTGAAGTACTGATAAAAAGAAATAATATAAAAATTATTTTCTTTCCCTAAATAATTGGAAGATATTCATTTACAGAGTGGCTTTTATGTGCAAACATTAAGAGAATAGAACATAAGACAAAACTAAAAGTACACTTTAAAGTTCCTAGTTTTTGTCTTCCCATAGATCATACAGGTAAGTCTGAGACTAACTTAGACCTGCTGTTGTGAATTCAGAGTTCTTGAACTTACCTTGCAATCACAAAGAGTACACAACTGACTCCCAAGCAGGCTAAGAGCACATACATCCAAATATCTGGTGACAGGGGGTTGAGGAAGGAGAAGACACCCGGGTTAGTCCCATTGGGCTTCCGGTAGAGAATGCTGATGCCCAGGGTCATGAAGGGCTTCGAGAAGTCAATGACTTTCTCCCGTACATAGGTGATGGTAAGAGGAGCCACTGCCAGGTCAGCCTTCTGCAAAAGCGAGTAAGAAATGTTCAGCTTAGTTGTCTCACCTCTCTGTAAGTGTGTAGACTTTTTCTGAGAACTCCTGATCCCTATTCTCAACTCCAAATGTTTACTTCATGGTTGTTTTTAATATAAAAACCCAATTAATACAGTTATGCTTATGGAATAGTATTTATCAACAAGGAGAAGCCAGAAGACATGCTATACACACAGAGAGACATACATGTGCCATTCTGGAAATAAATGGGAGATGAGCATGCCAGACAATGTCTTTACAAAGGGTGCATGATATATAGAACTGGAGGACATTATGTGAAGTGAAGTAAATACAGCACAGAAAGACAAATGCTCCCTGTTCTCACTTACATGTGGAAACTAAAAGGTTGATATCGTGTTGACAGATTTGTCACCATTAGTGAACCACATCCAGCTTCCCCTACGATGTTTATCTGAACTCCTTTTATCTCTCTGAATCTCCTCTCCTCTAATAATCAGTATTCTGTGTTCAGATTAAGGTGATTCTTTGTGTGTGTGGGGGGGGGATAAAGGGTAAAGGAAAACTTTTTGTATTACTACCTCAAAATTTTTGTATTCTAAATTTAAACCTATTCCAAACTAAAGTGTTAAAAATGATTGATCTCATGGAGGATAGAACAGTGCCTGCCAGGTCTGGGAAAGGGGGTGGAGTGTGTTGGACAGTTGGAGAGGAGATGTGCGCCAGACACAGGGTGCAGGCGGATAAGGGAATAACATTGTACAGCACAACAGGGTGACAGCAACTCATTATACATTTCAAAATAGCCAGAAGAGAGGATTCTGAATATTTCCAACACAATATCTGAGATAATGGGTATAATCTTTACACTGAGCACTACACATTATGCACATATATTGAAATGTCATACTGTACCCATAAATGTACTCAATGATGTATCAATAAAAAACAAAAATAAATGAAAAAAAAAATCATTCTACAATATTGAAAAATAAACAAGGGTATGTGAGAAAAGAATGAGAAAGTTGGTCATAATATTAGTAGACAAGATGCAGTTTTGGTCTGAGTTGAAAGTCTTAGGATTCTTTATCTAATTTAGACATCAGTCCAGTTGATAAGTAAGCAAACACCATATCTAGGTTTTCTCTTACTTTTTAAAAATATAATTTTGATTATATATTAAAAAAGCATTGTTCCAACAATGACTCAACCATTTTTTCTCTGTGTGTTTTTATGTTGTCTCATTGAACACTGAGACCCAGATGGTACATTTGCTTACGTGATCTATGAGCTCTTTGACCATCCCATTCCACTCTCCTTTGTCATTCTGGGCTCCATATTTGCCATCAGGGACTAGTTTAACATCATAAATGAAACCCAGGATGTTTGACAATTCTTTCAATAGGTCCAGGCAATACCCTTCAAATCTGTCATTTCCATATAGGGGCTTATCCGATTTCTTGTACATCACATAAGGCTCTTCCTGCATGAAACAAATTAAATGTTAAAAAAAAGGAAGGACTTATTCCATTAGCAGCCTGAAGACATAAAATCTTTGAAAATGAGTTTTAAGAGTTGAGAGTACTTGAAGTCAATTACATACCCTCTTGCCTGTGCTACCATTGTTGTCCTCTCTGTGCCCTTTCTACAAACACAGAATCTATATTATTTCTTCTTTCCCTCCTGCCTTTTGGATGGGAGTTTTTTCCTTCATTGGTGAGGGTGGAACTGTGAGTGAATGGTGCAATAGAAGCACTGGAAGTACAGTCATAGTCAAACTTTGGGTCTGAGGAGATGGAAAGGCTCATAGGATATTGGGGGCCCAGATGCCTGGATTCCAGCTGCGCCCTCAGCAAAGCTCCCTTTGTAAGACTCTCCCTCCTGATTTTTAACCAAGAGCCTAGCCTATTATAAGTTAAAAAGTATAAGAATAAGAAAGAGAACTCTAAATTACCAAACACCCCCTTTCATTTTTCAGGCTTCCTGTCTTAATGTTCTCAATTCCTCATCTAAATTTCATCTCCATTTATTCATACTCCCTACTATAGGGTTTGGTTGGTTTCCTTCAGTACATTTTTTTTTCCAAAGGCATTTCTATGCCAAGTTTTTTCTTGTCATTGATCCTGTGTTCTTGATTGAAATAACCTCTCATTTCACATCTGGAAATTCTGTTTTTAGGGCTTACATGACAAATCTCTCATCTTAAGAACAACAAATGTTTCTACCATGCATCTATAACCTTATTCTCATTTACCCAAATGAAAGTTCATTTTAGCTTGTAAAATCGCAATAATTATTATACTACTAGTATGTCCTTACCTTTAGTCATATAACTTCAAATAACTAATAGTTGGGTCATGTAAATACAACAGAAAACTCTATGTTTCTGTGAGATAGTTGCAAAGAAAATCCTGACCAGTATAAATAAATACTTTGATCGAACAATTCTCATCAGTTAATCATTTCAGAAGCAAATTGGTTTGACAGCATGAACTGAAGTAAATAAGGCAGTAAAGTAAAGATTTCAGAGAAAGCTATTCCTGTGCAACTCCTTTGGGAAAGGAAAAGGGAAATTGACAAAAAAAAAGTTGCATGGTATATAGTGACTGGATAAGGTAAAATCAAGGTTCCAACAGAGGGCAAGGCTTTTTAAAAATATTACTTATTTATATTTGACAGGCAGACAGACAGACAGAAAGCTCCCATTTGCTGGTTCCTTCCCCAAATGCCCACAACAGGTAGGATTAAACTGGAATGAAGTCAGGAGCTAGGAACACAGTCCAGATTTCCCATGAGGGTGGCAAGTACCCAAGAAATTGAGCTAACACTCTTGCCTCCTAGAGTCTGCCTTAGCAAGAAGCTAGAGTCTGGAGGTAGAACAGGAATTGCACATAGCTACTGTGGTGTGGGACATAGATGTCTTAACCTGTAGGCTAAATGCCCACTCCTTCAAAGCTGAGCATTGAAGAACAGTTAATAATGGGGCTGAAGTAGGCAGGCATACAGGTTAAAATCGATTAGGTTTGTGAGCTGAAAGACCATGCCTTCACCATGCCCCTGTGTGACCCCATCCCCCTACCTGGCCACACCTGGGTGCCCACCAGCCAATCAGGTTAATTAACCACTCCCCTTTGGAAGTGGTTATAAGCCTGGGACACGGTGTGTCCCGGATCTTCTCTTCGGCCCTGGCCTCTTGCCAGGAGGGGGCTTGCTGTAGTCCTGTGCCTCCAGGGCACGTGGCCTTTGGGCCACCTGCCCTAGGCTTCCTGGCCTAGGTGCTCCTCCATGTGGCTGGTTCCTGGTGCTCAGTATGAACCCAGATTTACCTCTCTCTCTTAATAAAGCTCTCACTCTCCTATACATCTTTCAACTAAATAAAAGCTTAAAATGTACCATGCTGCCTCATTTATCTGTGCTGGTATTTAGAATTCTTCTCTAAATATTAGGCAAGAACCCTCTTGGGCTTATTAATATTGGGGATTTGTTAATAAGCATATGGTGATATTGAAATTCCGGTAGCCTTTGTGGCACCCCAGATAGCACTTCTGGGGAACTTTAAGGGGCCACATTTTTGTATGAATTTTAGGGGGTCATTTCCAATTTCAGGGCTATTTACTGAGTGATAAGTGGAGCAAAGGAGATGGGGTTGAGACTGGGATAAAGTGTAGACATTTATGGGACTTATCACATCAGGAAGCCAGTAAGAACCAGGGGTTAGACAGACAGACAGGAAAGAAAGGGTGCTCCTGGAGCCCAGTGCAACTGGAGCCTGGAAAGAGGACCATTGGCAGGGCAGGAGCTATGACTGCAGAAGGATAGTGGTTCAGACAAAATCATTTTGTGAATGTTGCGAGGGGACAGGGGAAGACACTCTCTTAATTCTCTTCCTCCACTTCCCTGATATCTTGCCAGAGTCTAATTGGTTGAAACCATCCAGCAGTCGGAGAACTAAGAAGTCCAGCTGGATGGGACAGAGCAGAGCTGAGAATGTGTTGGCATTGGGAGATCTTCAGAACACTGTTGGGAATTTATGATTCAATCCTTTCGTAAATATATACAAATATATGATTTTAATGTCTCAGTCACAACAGGCATATACAGACTGAATTATGTCATGATAAAGACAGCTGAGAGATCCTTCAAAGTCCTGAGTAAGAGTCTGGATGAGATACCCTGAATTCCACTCAGTCAACTTACCAGAATAGTGGTGACGATGAGAGTTCTGTTGGCTAGTGAATCAGTGATATTGTTGGACCGGTCTTTGTTGCCCTCCGTCATGTTAAGCCCACTGTTGGAGTTCCAAATCCCAATCTACACAGAACACAGTACATCAGAGCTACTGGCTTCCAGTGACGGCGTTTACCCTAAAGAGAGACCCCTCCCACAATGGAAATGGACACAAAAGCTTGTAGGCTGGGACACCGGGGCATCACAATGGAAGCTACTAAACGTGGGGCAAGTGAAACAGTAGAGGAAGAAGTGTGTAGATGGAATGGAAGGTATTTGTGCAATTTGGGTCAAGAGAGGGAAGGTATTTCAAATTAAGCTCATTGTTCTTTTTGAAATGTAAAATATTTTAAAATGAAGTGAGTATCAGATTTTCCTTCCAATATTCCTTCCAATATAATGTTTTCTGTGCACCTACTTCTGTACCAAACATGGTTCTAGGCATTGGAGGTCACGGACATAAATAAGACAGACAACAGTTTCTTTCCTGTAGCATTTACATTTTACTGATATGAACCTTATTCTACCAGTGGTATCAACCATTCTTTTAAAATTTATGAGGAATAGGGCACGGGGAGCAGGGATGATGGTGGAGAGACTATGCATTGAAAAAGAGAAAGATATATGGAAGAAAAATGTGGATGAGTAATAGACTAGGTTCTAACACATATTCATGGAGGACCATGTGCTGGCCAGGGGTACCTCTGTGGACCCCAGGAAGACTCTGTACACACTGTGGTCACAGCGCTCAGCATTTTATACTCTAGTGATCTAATTACCTGTCTTGTCTATTGACCTGAGCATGCATTCCTTCAGGGAAGGGACTCACTTTTTATTGCTTGTTGATTTTTCTGTCACAGAACCAAACATGGGCAATGGGCATTTGGTGAAGTCTTTTGCCCTTTTGAAAAATCAAGACCCACAATTTTCTCCAGTGGCCAAGTCACTCCTGAGTTATTATGCCATACAGGAATACAGGTAGGGCATCCCTAATCCAAAAATTCAAAATCTGAAATGCTCCAACATCCAAAACTTTTGAGGACCAACGTGATATCACAGAGGGAAAGTTCCACATCTGACCTCATGTAATGGGTCACAGTCAAAACCCAGGTCCACTAAAAATATTATAGAAAATTACCTTCAGCCTTATGTGTATAAAGGTCTATGAAATATATGTGAATTCTGTGCTTAATCTTGTACCCCACCCCAAGCTATTTTGTTATGCATATGCAAATATTCCAAAATCCAAAAATATCTAAAACCCCAAACACTTCTGCTTTTGGATAAGGAATTCTCAGCCTTAATACTGATGTGCTTGGCCTTTGGGGAAATTCAAGAGACGAGCCTTAGGGAATTCGGTTATTTATCTGAGACCATCTATAGTCATTTACTGCCATCCTCCTGAGACAAAATATTTCAGAGGTTGGCAGAAATAGCCAAGCAGTTGCTGTGTGAGCTTATATATGACAGTAAACTCTCTGAGCATTCTCTAAATATAAAGTACTTTGTAGAGCATTTGGAAGGATCAAATGAGATGATGTATGTAGAGATGTTAGCATATGTTAAGAGTTACACAAATGTTAATAAGAAAGTGATTTCAAATGACTGCTCCAGTTAATATCTTCAAGCTGGTCTGTTGTGAAGGAATTTGGAAACCTTAGTGAATTTTTGTTTTTTTATAAATTCACCAGCTAATAAAGGAGCTATGAAAACCACCAATGTCACATTTGCTGTGTTAAGGAACACCAACACTTAGACATATGTTGAGATAGTGTGTAGATCTAGGTATGCGTACTCTCCAAATAAATTCTCCCACTGTAACAAGACATTTGGCTCTCAGGGGTGGGGAAACTTTTAATCTCTCAAGGATCATTTGGATATTTATGACAATATTCATGGGCCCTACAAAATTATCCACTATATATTTATAGAATTTTGAGTCCCATTTGTGGTTGCCTTGTCAGGGCCAGATCAAATGATTTCATGGGACTTCTGTGCCCTGCAGGCTGGACATCCCCCACCTCTGTCAGAGTATGAGCTTTACATGTAGGCCTTTGTCCAGATCTAATTTTGCAACATACTTAAACTGTGTGTGCTTTTATGCCTGTCCAGCAAAATAGAGAGAATACTTTTCACAACTAAACAACCTATCACATCAGGGAATGATGCGCCCCTTCCTTCTTAGCTCTTTCATGTCTTTACTTTGGTTTACTGCCTAATTTAACAGCTAGAAATTCATTCAGCTTTCCAAGTATCCCTTTTAGAGATACAAATGGTTTGTGAAAGTTTCAGGAACTAAGACACATTCACACATTTGTGTAAACTATTTCAATTTTCACTGCTTTTTTTCTATACTTAATTAGAGTTAGTTGATTAGAAAAATAAAGAAATAGATTTCTGTAAATGGGGTTTTGAAGATTGCTTTTACATTTGAAAGTATTGTGATTCTTGCTGAAAAGAAGGTATGAGAGGTAGAATTGGGATGCAAGCCAGCACCCTTAAATACCATTGGTATTTCTAGGACTTAGTGTGCCTCTGTCACTGGGAATGCACTTAATATATCTGCTCAGTTTTCTTTGACTGGTTTTAAACCTGGAAAGGCTGACATTTTCTTCTCACTCTTCTTAATCTTTGCACCCTCACTCACATTGAGGCAGGGGCCCTTGTTTCTAGGAAACAAGACTCATGTTAAATATACCCTTCTACTGCTTTTCATCAAAAGCTATACTTTAGGTAGTATACACTTGACTTCTAACTCCATGGAGACTGTGTGTAAGTAAATTGGGCCCTGAGTGTGATTCTAATTAAACCTTAACTTAGACACTGAGGAGAATGGAACCTAATTTTTAATTAAGTATTGAAGAGTGGGGAGACTGTGCTTTATTTAGCCACTTTATTAAGTAATGGACTGTGTTCCCTTTAACTTTCATTTCTATTAGTGTCAAATGTGTGTGTGTGTGTGTGCTTGTGTGTGTATGTGTTTAAAAGAACTATAATATTTGAAATTGGCAGTGTTGAACAGCCTTGTAATACTGTTCCATTCTGAAACAAAACTTGAAATTTCAGACAAATATACTCCACAGTTTGAAGTATGGTTTATTGCTTTTACCAGACCCTTTACCAGGATGGAAAGTAAACATTCCTTGTGCTGCCCTTTTAATCAACTAAGAACCTGAGTCCTGGTCAGGGCAAACATCCCTCTATAAAATGAAAAATGGGAGATAAATGTTTTACTTTTGTCTGTGTGACAGAATATCCTTTAAATGTAGACTGAAAGAGTATCAAAACCTTTCCTGGGAATTGAACAGTATATAATGTAATTCAAATGACCTCTGCCTCTGTTTTCAAACATTTCAATCAACAAAACAGAAAAATACTTTTGTGTGTGTGTGTGTGTGTGTGTGTGTATTAGTCCTAAGTTGTCAACTGGTTTTACCTGTTAATTGAAATAAATGAACTGATTGTCAGCAAAAGAAAAGAATATGTTTCATTGAAAAACAGACATTCTGTGTGAGTAACTCTTACAGAAAACAAGATGCCTAGACATTGACATTTCTCTCTTGGGCTATGACCTTGGAGTAGTGACACCAGGAAGAAGAACCTCAATTTTCAAACCTTGCATACAAAGCAGACAGCAGAAATTCTCGTGAGAAGGAGTGGAAGGTGGATCAATTATTTGTAGGGAGGGACACTCAAAGATTATCTGGCCCTGCCTTCTTTCATGGTAGAAGTTGGCACAAAAGAGCAGCCATTTGTTTTCTAGAACAATCGAGGGAAAGTTTGAAAGTACACACCCAAAAGACATAAAGCAAACATTAAGAAAAAAAATGGCCTGATGCAACAAAAATGTGTTCAGATATCTTCCAAACCTCAAGAAGCTTCCCATCAACTCAAAATCCAAAATTTCTGAGAAAAGTAATTAAGTACCTAGGGGAAAAAATAAAGATGTATCTGTTTCCCATATCATGACTCTTTTTTTTTTTTTTTGACAGGCAGAGTGGACAGTGAGAGAGAGAGAGAGACAGAGAGAAAGGTCTTCCTTTGCCGTTGGTTCACCCTCCAATGGCTGCCTCTTCTTAATACACATTTAGTGAGGGATTTTGTAAAGATTACTCCATCACTGTTTTGGAAAGGATTTTTGGTGAACTGTTCTATACTACAAAAGGTGAGAGGACTGAAAAGAGCTTTAGGTATCTGAAAAGGAGGGGACAAATCTTTCTGTTCTACTGGAGTCTTTCTCTGGAAAAGGCAATGTGATTGTTGGGCTGAATGGGTCCCCTGTGCTGGAACTCAGGCGCCTGTGAATTGTTGATGAAGAGTCATAACACAGAACAGCACACCACAGCATGTACAGCTTACAATGTGGGCAACAAAGGGTTATCAGGACAGAAAAGGCATAAAAGCACAGAGAGGCAAAGCCAAGAAGTTACATCTCTAGGATGTGGGGTAGATATTGCAGTTTAGTGGCAAACAGACAGCATTCCCTCTCTCCTGTGTACAAGTTCAAAGCTTGAATTCCATCCCTATGATATTTGGTTTGAATTAATTCAGCACTGCATCAAGTGCCTGCAGTCTCCAACTGCATTAGTGTAGCGGGCTTGTTTCTGGGTCCCAGGTGGGTCCATGTATTTACCACCAGCTCGGAATCCAGTTTGCCTTTTGCTTGTCTTTAGTGGCCGGGTTTATTGAAGATTAAGACAAGGCTATTAAGTCTATGGTTGTTGTTTTTTTTTTTAAATTACACGGAGGAAATTTTTTAGATCATCTACTAGGAACTGCCAAGAGGAATACAAACCTTTTGGCTACAGTTAGACATTGTTTACATTCTCTGTGATAATTTGGAAGATGAAAATGAATCTGATGACAAAACTGTCCAAGTGGAATAATCTGAAGTAATTTAAGGTGCATCCATCAAACCACAGATTTTTTAGTAAGTAGTTTGAGAGAGATGGTGAGAGAGAAGGAGAAAGACTGCCTATCACTGGGATATTTCCTGATCCAGATGTTTTTAATGTCTAACATTTGCTTATATAAATCTGTACACATTCACTGGCAACACAATACTGTACAATGAACTATGAAGTAGTGGGTGGAGTAATTCACAAGATAATCTCCCTTCCCTTCCAAGGTGTCTAATAGCTTTGTCCTCTGGACACTGTAGTTCTAAAATAAATTGCAAGGCAGAATCATCTGTGGATGAGCACAAAGATAACTCCTAAAAAAAGGGGATTTCCAAAAACGTCTCATATTTTGTTATAGTGACATTGAAGGAGATGCCCTAGTCTTCCAAGGCCTTGGCCTATCTGATGAGTCTGATGGATTAAATCTATTGTTGCTTTCTTCCTCCTTAGGGAAAAACACTTAGTTGCAGTTACCTACTTTCAGTCCTGTAAGAGACTGATCACACCTATGAGAAACAAATATAATCTAGAGTGAAATATTTAACCTATCACTGTTGAATCTGTTGCAAGCATATTTGCTATTCAAGGTTGTGTGGTTGAGAGAGGGTGTATTCCATCACCCCACTCTCTCTTTACATGGGCCACTACCTCTAAACTGCAATCAGAGAGCTACTGCTTTGCAACACTGGAGGGACGCAGGCTTTCCCGTGGATCTCCCTACCCCACCTCCAGGTCTCCTGCAGTTGTAGTCAGGGTACAAACCTTCTTCCACACTTTATACAAGTGCTTAGACACTTCGCCAGCAGCCTTGGTTTTCAGAGGAAAAAAATAAAAATAGCACTTCATTAAAATGGAGCATGGAACCCAAAAGATATCATGGAATATGAGCCCTGAAAACATGAAGTTCCCCACCCATCGTTAGGAAGTCTTGGTGCTTCATTCAACATAAAGCCTTATAATAAGTACTGCAAAGAGATAAATCAAGACTGGGTTCTCAAAGAAGTTACTTGGTGGCAAGACTTAATTTTTATTTCTTTCATGCACCAAAAAATGACTTAAACCACATTTCAATATGTATGGTTAAAATGCGATAGCAAGCAATCTTCATCATTCCTTATAAAGCCTGTTTAAGGCATTCATGACTGAAATCAACCACTACACACACACACACACACACACACACACACACACACACGATTCCTAAATTAGAAGGTAAAGCATGCTTGATGACTTATTCTTTGTGGGTTTCTAGGGGGTAGAAATTGAGTGCAAGTGAGAAATGAGTCTTTCCTAACAATTTCCCCTTAGGAACTCCAGGGTGGTTGACATGAAAAGATAGGGATTTCCTCCCCTAGCTCCTGAGAGAGCTGCTTTGGCCTCTCCCATTGCCCGGAGGCCCAATCAGATTTGTCAGGAATGGAGCCCAAGTCACCTATAGAAAGAAAAGTTATTGCAAACCATGAAGAGGTAAACAAACAGAAAACACTTTCATCTAATTTGACTTTTGCTTTCATGAGAAGCACCAATAGATTGTGCATTATATTGCAATGTATAACTAGCTGTGAAAGCACAATAGGTTTTATATTTGTCATTCATCTGAACCAAAAAGATGTTTCCTTAGAGATTTTTTCTCCTTTCAATGTTGTACATTTTGAGGATAAAGAAGGAGAGTAAGAAGGTGTTTAGAAAACCAGACATTTTCTTGAGAAAAAGAAATTAAATGCTTTTAGACTATAATGAGTACTCTTTTGCTCCCTGCAGCTCAAATACCACAAGATGGATGTCTTGTGCTGTCAGCATGTTTAAATGACAAGGAGCAAATTAGAGTGAAGAAGAGGCCAGGTGGGGGACACTTTTTGGAAATATCTATAGTTTATTTCAAAGGCAGAGAATGAGGGAGAGGAGTCTTCACTTGTCCAGTCCTCATATGCTACATACAGTCATGACTGGGCCAGACTGAACCTAGGATCCAGGAACTCAACACCTGGGTGGCAAGAACCCCAGGGCATGAGCCATCATCTGTTGCCTCCAGGGTGCATACTGTAGGAAGTTGGATTGGAAGCAGAGTGAGAATGAGAGAATCAAACCCAGGCACTCAGATTTGGTATTTGGGCAATGTGCCAATCATACACTGCAGAGACAGTGTTTTTGGAAATGCAAAACATGCATGCATAATGTGTGTTCTCAAGAATGCAAGATAGTTATTCTTTTCAAATACGTCAACACCAGTGGCAACTTTATATTGTACATAGCCTAATTAAATTTGTGTTTCAGTTAATGCTATTTGGGGGAAGGGGAGAAGAGATAGGTAGGGCATGTGTCAAAAAAAAAAAAAAGTGTTCTAGTTTTTGAAATGAAATGCCATCTCATTTAAAACACCAACCAATTTCAAATTAAGTAAAAGGTGAAAGATACAATTTGAAGAGAAACCAGAATAGTCAAATTAAGTAAATAATAAATTATTCCCGGAGCTATTCTTTCACATTAAACACATCATCTTGTTCAGTACAGTGGGGAAAATGATGGACTATAGTTTTGATGTTCAAATGATTGGAGTTCTCAAAATTTTTTCTTTAGGTTCTGAAGGGCAAACTGTAAATTTTAATTTTAATTTGCAGTCATGAATACTTAAATTATTATAGTAAGATATACTGAGAATTTAAATTCATTTATCGTTATTTATCTAAATGACTTATATTTGCATTAAACTAAAACAAGTTTAAATTTGAATAATTGAGAATTAAAATTAAAGTAATCCTAAAATGAGAACCCAATATTGACACTTTTTTTAGCATTTGTCTTAAAATTAAGGATGCAAATTTAATTTGTTCCAGTAAACTTCTATTCTATTCTACTCTATTCTGTTCTTCTGTCATCAGTCTCAAAATAGAGTGCAATTAGAATTAATTTGTGAGTAACTCTTGAATGTCATTCCATAGACAAACCATTGACAGCCTCTGATTTTCCAAGTCTAAAATCAGTTTCTTCAACTTTGAAAAATGGGCCTAATGATACCCACTCATAGGATTATAGATGTGATAATGTATGCACATTTGCGACACAAACCAAGCACTATATAGACATTAGTTAGCACTGCTATTAATAGCACATGCAATTTAGAACCAATAAAACATATATCTGCAGATGGATGAGAGAAATCTGGAAAAGTGGAAATACATGAACATGAATCATTTTATCATCCCCTCTCTTCTCTGTGCAATTTAATTAAAATGCTTGAACAATGCTTTATTCTACTTATTTACATATGTATTAATTGTGAAGGAGGTTACCTTTTCAGTTCCCTCCTCTTTGAGACTAATAATGTCCAGATCAAAATTTTTCCTTAAGCCATCAGTTTTATTGAAGGTGATCCGCCCAGTCAAGCCATCCCACTGAGCCTGTAGACAAAAGGAATGTGGTGTTACTGTTGCACACTTATCATAATCCTAAAACCATCAAAATCATAATACCTCAAATTCATCACAGCATCCGATTATTTGGTTTCATCATGCTGTTGTAAACCACTGCATTGGTTCAGTGACTTGAAAACAGAAGGCTTCACTATTTTAGTAGCATTCATTTATTTTGTTAGTTCTAACATCTTGACACCAAACTCGTGATAATGATAACCTATGTGGGCAGGATGGAAGGAATTAATGTAAAATAGTCTTCAGATGATGTAAAAAAAGACTAGGAAGTCATAATGTTCTGTTGTCCAAGGTCAATCCAAATCCCCTTCCAAGTACTGTGAGAGGAAGTGTATCCCTCCTTTTTCTTTCTCTATGAAAAGGATTCTCAAACGTATGGGGTGTTTATGATTTTGGTCTTCAATTGTCAATTGAGCATTGTAGTTTCCTATGGCTGCTGTAGCAAGTTTTCACAAACGTGGTGGCTTAAACTAACAGAAATTTAATCTCTCACAGTTTCAGAGGCCAAACATCCAAAATCAACATCCGTGGGTAAAATCAAAGTGCTTGAAGAGCCATACTCCCTCTGCAACTTCTAAGGGAGACTCCATTCTCTTTCTCTTCCTGCTTCTGTTGGCTGTAAGCACTCCTTGTCATGTGGCCAAATCATTCTGTCTGTGTGGTCGCTTTTCTTCCTCTTCTTCTTGGGTCTGTGTGGAATCTCCCTCTGCTTCTCTGTTAGAGGGACACTTCTGATTACATTTAGGAAACCCAAGATAATTTTCCCACCTCAAAAATCCATTACATGTGTATTAATTGTACATAATATCTGTGATGACACATGAATATGTGATTACATATGAATATGTGCTTTTGTATTTGAATATATGTACATATTATATATGTTTGCATTTTTGCATATGCATATATATATATATATATTTGTGTCTAATTTTGTCAAACATGGAAATATTTACAGGTTCCAAGGTTTAGAAAATAGACGTCTTTTGAGAGATCCAGTATTCTACCTACCACATGCATTAACATAATTTTAGGACATTAAACTAGAGATTTTATTTTATTTATTTATTTTTAATTATTTATTTTATATATAGAAGTCATGCAGCACATCTTTAGTAGTTTTAGTTTTAAAAATGGCCCTTGTGTTTGTTGCACTTCAACTTGTAGCTGACCTTTGACAATCTTTTACAATTTGAGTTTCATTTACAAATGAAGATAAAGGAAAATTCAGGTCTTTATGTACTCTTAGCTATTTTTTCTCCCTTCTGACTTTACAAAATTCTTCAGATATGTTTAAAATGTGAAGAAGATCTGCAGCCTTATGCTACCATCCCTCCATGTCTTTGGATTCTGCATCCATTGTTTCAATCAATTTTGGATCCACAATATATAAGGAAAAAAATCACATCTGTACTGAAAATATATAGACGTTTTTCCTTGTCATTATTTCCTATATGATACAATAAATAATTATATATATAGCATTACAGAATGCTTAGCATTGTATGTAATCTGGACATGATTTAAAGTATATGAGAATATATGGTGTAGGGTATATGCAGAAACCACATCATTTTATGTAAGAGACTGCATCTACAGACTTTGGTATCCACAGGTGTTCTGAAGCCAATCTCCCATGGAAACTGAGGGTTGATTTTACTGTATCTATAGTGGCTCACACCACGTCTGCCAACTAAATATAGTTACTCATTTGACCAAGGAACAGAGCAATGTGGTGGAAAGGGCATGAGTTTTCCAGAGAGCTGGGTTTGAATCTCAAATCTGACTTCAGGATTTGAATCTGGACTGTGTCAGATTTTAGTGTTTGATTCATGCACAGATTCCTGTGAGGTTTAAATGACACATGATACAATTTGTAACAAATTGAGGACATTAAAAATATTAACAATCATTAATTACAACTGCCTCTTACTTTCATTCCCTGCTTCATAACTATATAGTTGGATTTTTATTACTTTATGTGTCAGGCCTCACATATCTGATATTTACTGGTCTCTACTGGCTTTCATTTTATAAATCATTACAATATTCATTATGTCCCAAACCAGTTTTCATATTCATGCAAATCCACTCAGCACATAAAACATATAATGGATATTCATGCCACTTACAAATTAATCTAAATATTAACTTTGCATTGGAGGTTGTAATGGTTAATTTCATGTATCAATTTGATTAGGCTATGAGATGCCCAGATATCCAGGCAAACATGACTTCTGGATGTGTCTCTGAATGTGTTTCCTGAAGAGATTATCATTTGCATTGGTGGCCTGAGGAAGGCAGAGTGTGCTCTCCAATGTGAGCTGGCATCACACAATATATTGATGGTCTGATTAGAATAGAAAAGTGGAGGAAAAGAGATTATGTACTCTGTTAGGCTGCCACACCTGCAGCAGAGATCTCCTGCTCTCAAACTGGAATTACACCATCAGAGTATTGAGTCTCTGGTCTTCAGACTTGGGCTGAAATTATTCCACCAACTTTCTTGGGCTTATAATTTGCAGATGAAAGACATGAGATTTCTCAGCCTGCAAAATAGTGTTGGCCAGTTTCTCGGAAGTCTCTCTCATTTCTCTCTCTCTCTCTCTCTCTCAACACACATACACATTTCTATATAGGGATTCCTGAGCAATTTTATTGAAAATGCATATTATGGGGTAAGACTATGCATGGGTTTCAAACAAGTTTTGCACCAAAATAAGTATATCTTTTAATTTCATTTTCCATGAATTGTTTGTAGTACCCTCATACATGCATGCACACATGCATTCAAACACACACACATACATATGTTAATCCTAATCTGTCTATTTCTCTGGAGCATCCTAAATAATACAGAGATCTGTTAACAGTTAGCTTAAAGTATCTCTTCGGAATTTTTCACACTATTGTTTCATGTGCAACCACGACTGGAACAGGTCTGGGCTCTCTCACCTTTGTGCACTTGCTCATCACATCTTGTGTCTTCTACTCAATGTGCCACACTCCTGTTCATCTTAAAGACTGTGTACTATGCTGTTTTGGTTCAGATTCACAGTTTTCCGATTCAAAGCACAGCACTCCCAGCCTATATGACTCTGACCAGTATTTCTTTGTTATTTCCTTTTTACCTAACCATATACCCTTATTCTTTTCATTCCTTAAATCCTCAAATAGATTGGAAGCTTGGCAGCAAAATCCAATTGTCTTATTAAATCATGTTCCCTCTAATATCTAACCTAGCACTCAGATATTTAATATTTTCTTATTCTAATTTGTTCTATAATTTTGTTAATATTCATGTTTTATTTTTCTGCCTTCCTTCAATTCTCTCTCTTATTTAAACCTACAACTCCTCAGCACTGTGGTTTGCTTACAGTGTGTACTCCAAGTGTTCTTGTGCTAGAGGCTTGTCGTCTGGTGTGACAGCGTCAAATTAATAAGAGGTGAGGCCTATAGGGAGGTGATTAGGTCAAAGGGGCTCCACCCTCATGATGAATTAGCTCAAGAGTAGATCAGGTCTGGTGGGACTGGGGTGGATCCTTTGAGAATGGATTGTCACAAAGAGAGGCCACCCAACATGCTTGGTCAGTTCTGCACTCAGCCAGTTCAGTTTCCACTTCTCTGTCAGATTGTAACACAGTGAGGAGGCCCTCACCAGGGAGACAGGGCTGTGCTGTTCAGACTCTCCATCCACTAGAATTGACAACCAAATAAACCTCCTTTCTTTAGGTTAGCCAGTGTCAGGCATTTGGTTATAGCAACAAAACACAGTCTAAAAATTCAATTCATAATCCAATCTGAAAATACTGAGAATGCGGTAGAGTGCAGGTCAAGAAGACAAGTTTAGTCTTTAAGCCATTATCATGCTTTGTGGCTGTGCCTAAGTCATTGTGTCCTCTTTTAGCCCACAGAAGAGTGTCATGTTAAGTGACAATTTTGAATAAAATGACTCTTAGTTCTGCAATGCTGCATTGGTATGGACCTTAATATAGTTGACAACCAATTGTCAGGCACCTATGATGAGCAAGCTATGCTGTATGAAACATAAAACATAGCTAGCAACACCAAACTATAATGTAAAACATACTGCTCCCTGAGGAGAAAAGATTATTACAAACTTTGGTTTATTTCTTTCTTTCACTGTTAATTCATTTGAAAAATATTCATTTATTAAGCATCTTCTCTGTGCCAGGAACTATGCTTGGAATACTGCATCTAGCAGTTTGCAGTTTAGTAGAGATAAGCATGTTAATGCATTTCCATAAAGCACAGTTAAGTGGGAGGATAAAGATTTACACAGAGTGTTGAATAAAGAAGTGTGGAAAAGAAGCACTTATCCCAACTGCAAAGAAAGAGTCAGCAAGATTCCTGGAGGCAAGAATTCCTGAGCTCTCCAAGGATGAGAAATTGGCTAAACAAAGATTCACAGCCAGGTTAAAAGTGGGAAGTAAAGAATAAATTGTAAGTTTGCAGAAGTCTATAATGCAAGGTAAGAAACAGTGAGAAACGAGCTTGGGAAGGCAGGCAGGCGTTGATCAAAAAGGTGTTATGAATCATGCTAGTTGCCTTGGCAATTGCTCAGTCCATGTTTAGGAACCAAGGGAGTGTTTTAAGCATAAGAGTGCCATGATCAGATGTGCTTCATAGGGAGAATGTTTTAGAAGAACTGTGAAGGATGGTGTGGGGAAGGTCCAGGTAGCTAGCAGGGGTTTAGTTAGCAGGTTATTCTCATGGAGCAAACTTTATGGTTTCATCTTCATATGCCTACATATGGACACAAAAATAGCATAATTCTGCATCTTCCTGCTCCATCAACTTAAATAAAATTAACTTTTTAAAAGATTTATTTATTTATTTGAAAGTCAGAGTTACACACACATACAGAGAGAGAGAGAGAGAGAGAGAGAGAGAGAGAGAATCTTCCATCTGTTGGTTCCACACCAAAGCCAGGAGCCAGGAGCTTCTTC